TGCGACGATGGGTCAATATTTTTTCGACTAATCGTTAATTATAGAGAATGGAAGGATATGGAGATAACGAACAGTATTTAAACTCAAAGTCCATAAAACAATTCAAAATAGGAGCAGAGCAAACACGGACCTCCGAAACATCAGAGGTGGGATCAGGTGCCATGGAGGAGTGAGCATTCCCTGCTGACCAGTCACACCCGCCGTGTGCTCCATGTCATGATCGGGAAAGAATACTTTGATATTTTAGTTTATTATGAAACTTTACAATGAAACATTTTTGAAGATTTCGAGCTTCAATATATCGCTAATTATATCATTGATGTGATTTTCTAAAATAAATATGTAAATATACAAGAAAAGGTTCTTTTAATATCAGAAAATTACTTGTTATATTGTAGAAGTTTAAAAAATAAAAAAAAGGATATCTTTCTGAAATAGTAAAAATACTTTTGATTTATCATGGTAAAAACTTTAATTTACTAGTATATTACCCTGGTACTTTTTTGTTTGGGCTTGGTAAGCTTTATGTAATCAAATTGATTTTCACCTGTCCCAGTTTCAATTTTCATTCATTTGGCTTAATGCCTGCATAGTTGAGTAACGACCCATCAGTATTCATTCTGTCAAAAACGTAGGTATAAGATAGCCCATTGAGGACTTTTTTAAATTCGAAATAACGATTTTTAAAAAATCTAATACGATTTTAGAGCTTTTGTAATGAGGTGAAAATACCTCATTATGATCTTTATATCAGCTTAAAAATGATTGATCTACATTTAACAAAATAAAATAAACTATGGTTAAAAATTTTCACAAATTTTATTTTTCAAAATAATTAAAATCCTTTATTTGCTATAATAAAAAAAAGTACGATGCTCTTGAGATCAGTGGCACATTTCAAAAATATACGGGACATAAAAATCATTCTAGACAAGCCGTACTGTTGTCTCAAGTTTATGAGCGCCATGATTTGAAAGTGAATAAAAGAAAGGATTCAAAGTTCGATAAGTTTGTCTCATTGGTAGTGTATAATGAAAATATGTCCTATCTGTTACCTTCATAATATGCAAGTACTCTTTAAATTGTTTATTCTGCTAGAACAATAAGATGAACAAGGTTACAAAGAAATGGTTTCAATGTCCCGATGATGCAAAAAGAGTACATTATACTAAATAACGGGTGATTTATATGAGAAACGTCCATCCTGTTACTGTCATTCCTGTTACCATTAACATGGTAACAGTAAGAAAAACTGGACTTCATATCTTGAGTTTTAGCAATAAAAGCAATTAATTTTAATTTTCTTATTAATATAAGTTTAATTACACATGATAAAAAGCTTCGTAAATCCTATTGAAATATGTTTGTGCTTCAAATAGTGCCATTATAACTTAAACATGCACTCTTGTAACAGAATGGACAGAAATTGTAACAGGAGGGACAAATTATCCCGGTTTTTACATACCTATTTTAGTTGTATCATTTGTTTTACCTATAATTATGAAAATTTCTTAGTTTTGCAACAGCATGGAGTACCTCTAATGAATAAAAAAATGAAATGATATATATTCTAATAGCATTTTACAATTACATTTCGTAACAGGATGGACATAAAGGTCTTCAATTGTCTCGAATTTGCCAGATTTGACAATATCATGTGTTTATTCTACATTTCTTTCTCTTTTCTTAACCAATAAAGTTATAAAAAGTCTAATTTTTGTTCTAATTCTAGATTTCATTGTCCATCCTGTTACCCTGTTAATTTGTCCATGCTGTTACTGTTTTGTCCTTCCTGTTACCCGAGTCCTTACTGTTACCAGTATATTTTCCTAGTTTAAATTGCTTTTGCAGAACACCTGTTTAATTAACTTTCTGTAATTGTTTATTCTCATTACCAAAATAATGTACAAGTATGTTTTTTTTTTCAACTATAGTGTATAAACATTTCGCAATAAGGTTTTTCATGAAGAGAAACCCGTAGATTTTGCTTCTGTTTGGTATATGCTTTTAAACGATCATATACATAGACAAATGTCAAGCATCTTGGCATTCAATGATATTTTTCAATTTTTTCAAACAATATACAAAAGATTATTTGAAATAGAGTTTTACAGCTCTTTTTATGAAAGTAACAGGAAGGACATTAAAGTTTAAATGACTAAGATAAAATGTCAATATTTTTTTAAATAAATATTTATTTTTTTTGCAATGTGATGAATTTTAGTAGTTTAATACTGTATTATTCAAACAGAGTTGAAAAAATCATAGTGAAACCACTTTCATTTTTCAGAAATATGTCATTAAAAAAATAAACTTTTTTTTAAAATGACCCGTATAACTAACTAACAATTAGTATGAAAAATGTCAGTCAGCATTTGACTCAATGATAAATTGTATTTGCTGACAAGGTCATTGTATCGACCATAGAAATTACGAAATGATGACTTTTAACGAGACTGCTGATATTCCAAGAAAAGGGGGAAAAGCTTTTTCAAGATTTAGTTAGAAATGGCAGAGACCTAGTAAAACAATAATGAAATACCTGACAATGAACCGTATAATCAAGCTCAGAAGTGCACTTAAGCTAAGCAAATTCTCAGCAGAGCAAACACGAATCTCTAGAATCATCAGAGATATAAGCCAGGTGCCACGGAGAAGTAAGCTTTCCCTGTTGACCTTGCATCCTCGTCTCACCCACAGGTGCTTGACGTCTTATAGTATGGGGACATTTTTATTTATGAGAAGAAAGGTTAAAAACGTCAAGTGGGTGCACTTTATAACATTTCAAATGCCTTGGAGTTTCATCTGAAACATATAAGAGCACTGTCTGGGAACACTCACGATCCAAAAGGTTCTTGTTAAGGAAAAACCCGACGTTCTCCTTAAAGAAAAGTCCCTGAAAGCGAAATTTGGAGGGTGTGATAAGTAAGGTGACTAATATACTTGAAATGGAAAGAAAAGCATGTCATCCTAGACTCAACTAAATGTTGCATTACTGGAGTTGAAACCAGAATAAGCAAGTACGCTATTCGTAAACTTAGTATCTCCAAAGTCGCTTACCTGAAAAATGTAGACTTGTAAACAACTGTCACATTAAATGCGATTTTCTATCTCTTGTGAATAAAAATTAAAGGCATGAAACTTTTTTGGTCAACGCATTCGTTAACTTTCCATGACATTGAGATACGAGGAACTTTACAATTTGAATTCATTTTTGAAATTTTGGCTTAATTAACTGTTACTGAGCAAAATGAATTAAAAAATGTATATTTCTTGGTTTCCATGGATACTGTTGTCATTTGATTTCATAAACAAATGGCATATTTAGAGTTGGTGATTATCATTTCGAGGAAGTTTCAATAAGAGTCAGGCATTTATAAAGGTTTGAGACAGGAAAAAAAAATTATTAAGTAATATATATACTCTGTATTTTCAACACATACACACCTGTCTTCCCATGATTTTTCTAACACCAAAACTCCTAATAATCTCAAGAAATCGAACAAAAATTATTTTAAAACTTACACACACACCCTCAAAATCCGTAAAGAGTTCAGTAGAATATTACGGAAGTGGAAAGAGCTACGCAAGCTAAATGATCTGTTTCATTTCATGTCTACTCTCAAAACATTGTTTCATTAGATACATAATATACTAGTATACATAAAGAGTGTTTAGGTAATCAAATTTGTAGCAAATTTATTCTTTAATAACTTTTTTTTATTTACATGTCCATATACACTTGTGCCCATTATATGAAACTGAAACTAAAATACAAAAATACAGAAACTGAAACTCTAGCTTGGAAACCGGATACAAAAAAAAGTGCATATTAATTTTCTCCTTAAATTGTTAGTTTTGAGTAGCGAGTGACGCATGAAGGCAGGGGTTCACCGATCGGCCATTGGTCTGGGAATTTGAATGAGACTTCTCATCTTCCATCCTCGTCATGGAGATTTTTTCTCAATGAATGAATGGCCTGACCGTGAGTTATCTGACCCCCGTGACATACTGGTCACGCTCTATTTCACAACGTGACCAGGGGACGTAGACCCATTCATTTGAATGGCGTGAATAAGTATTAAATATTTGTGTGGAATATTTTTGATTTTTTTCAGCGCTTTGGACATCAATAATTAATCAAAACATTAGGCGGAAAATTACGAACAAGAGAATTGTAAACCAAACACTATCCATTAAATCCTAAATTTGCATCTAGTGTGACCCATTTTTGATTTGGTCAGCCAAAACATATACATGTACAGTCAAAATTAAACAAACACGGTACTTTTTTATCTTGCAGTAGGAATTTAGTAAAATCATAACAACGTTATAATTCACCAGGACTTCATTTTTTTCATTTAGTGCATATCAGTCAAAATACATTAGTCAAGAATGAAAATATTAAAGTAAACATTCGGTACATTATTTTAAAAACATAATTATAATTTTGTACTGACAGTCAGTGTGATATATTACATGAGTCGGGAGAGATGGGAAGCGGTCACTGACTCTGAAACTACAACAAAAAGATAAGATGTCCTCATTTTGTGTCCGTAAACAGTCAAAGTTTGGGTCAAAGAAAACATTTTTTTTTTAATACGTAGACTCTTTGCTTAGGGGGCTATTGAGGTTTAATGTATTTATTTGTATATGATTGCTAATGATGATGTTATTATTGATCCGGGAGAACTAAAGTGGTGGAAAGTTTTCAAAACGGAAAGTTTCCATTGACCAAAAAAATCATTACACAATCACAACAATTTTGATAACATCGTAGTTTGAATGCTTTGTGATGCCCTCACTGGTACCTCACCAGACTAATGTTTTCATTGGCCATGAGTGACACACCTCCCCAAATCGTGTAAACACAACTATGTCACGCGTTAGAAAACGAAGGCAAATTCTAGCCATCTGATTGGATTAGAGGGACACACCTCCCGAAAAAGTCACATGGTCACTCTGGCCTATAAAATTGCATTGATTGATTATTTTTCCAGAGTTTTCATCATTTTTAAGAAAGAATATGCTGCATTACAGTGACAGGAAAGTTGGAATTGTTGGGTGCCCCGTCCATCATGGGCAGGTAAGGAAATCTTCATCATTCATTCAATAGTTCTTTCAAATACATTATTTGATAATGATTATAATAAAATTCTGAATATTTGATTTCTTATTTTCCATACTTATGTTTTAGAGATTCCAGTTCATGAAAAAATAAACAAAGCAGTTTTAAAATTTAGAATCTCTGTGTAAGCATGTGTCAGTTTGATAAATGTTAACATTTGCATTTTATGTTGTATTCTGCGTGTTCGTTACGTTTTGCGACATATTTCCATTTTATTGGATATCAGGGACAGCGCCCACGTCAAATTTCACTTCATTGGTTAATAGGGACAGCGCCCATATAGAAATCGAGGGAAAATTTAAAGATAAAGATTTTCAAACATTTTCCATCGCCTAAGTTTCTTTTATCTGGGCTGCGGCCCTGAACTTGTTATTGGTCGAGCGGATTAGCGCCGGGATGTTGTTATAAAGAACGACTGTAAATTGGGGGGAAGATTAGACTTAGACAACGAACATTTTTTAGGAGAAAGCCTTCATTAGAAATAAATCCCCGGGCTTCCTTTGTGTGCCTTATTCTTTAGATAAACATTGGGATTCTGTATTTGTCCCCAAGATCTCGGTCTTGTATTTGCTAAGGTTTAAATTGGTATGGTTCTAGGTGACGTTAAAATGAGGAACAATACGCTTTGACCTTAAAATCTCTTTCGATTTTTGACTTTTTTTTGGATAGAGAGCATCTAAGAAATTAAGTATGCTGGTATTGCATATATCTAATTCCCTGATCTAAATTTTGTCATACGCAATTATTGTATGTAGTTTGATGCATACTTGTATGTTGATGGACATGAATTTAAATGCCATAGTGTCTAATAAGTAAAATAAACAATGTTCATTCAGATGTTTCTATAACCAAATGGGATTTTGTCGGCTTTTCTTGCCATTAAAAAAATTAATATTTAGTATTCAATCACATATTTAACATAAGCTTAAGATACTGTATTTGAATATGTTAGTAAAATTCAAATACACGGTGGAAAATATCTGAATTATAAAGCTTATTCTTTAAAAAAAAAAAATTAAAAATAGGATGAATTTTTCTAAACATGAATGCAAATCTTTTCTAATTTGTTTTTCAAAACACTTTATTTAATATTTTTAAAAGAAATTTAAAATAATAACGAAGCGTCTTGAAAGGTTAAAATTCGAAAGCTAAGATAAAAAAAGATAAAATTTATGTCAGGTGCGCGCAACAGGCAGCCGCAGACATAGATAAACGAGAAAACATTTTGGTGACCAGGGACTGAATCATTTTAGCGCTCTGTATATAAAGACAAATGGCTCCTCGTTGAGGAGTCAGAACTGACAGCCAGAACTGCGCCGTAAGCATGGAAGAGAGATTAAAGGCTTCGTTTGTGCTCATGTTCAAGCTTTATTATTTTGGGCAAGGGAATCTAATACTTTTGTAATATATAATTATATGAACTTAGTTGGAATACATGCCTTAATTAAATCGGAACTCCAATATTTTATAAAAATGGAAGTGCAAAAAGTGATCCATGTATTTACCGTTAGCTTTACCAAGATAATTTTTTGGATATATGTGTATTTATACAAAGTTATGGGGTGATTTGGACTTCATCGTGAAGTAGTTTTGTACGTAGCATAGTGCATAACCGCCAGATGCAGGTTCATCGATCGGGCTCGTAATTCAACCGAGCGAGAGGCAGGGGGCGGAAAAAACATCTAGACATGTGCGAAAGTACTTCCAGGTTAAGAAAGCTTGTGATTTACAGGATTGGAAATAAATAGAATATGTAAGCGTTTTATCAATTAATAAACAATAAATACGCGCAGACTTTGTGAAAGACTTTTCTTTTTGTAAAACGCAGATGCTTTACCATCCAATTTGATCGAAACAACGAAATACGTTTTGTCTAGCAATGATTTCTCGATTTACTTTTTCTGCAAACTCTGTTATCCGTGTGATCAAGATCAGGTTTTTCCCCAAAATATTAAGTAGGTCGAGTTTGTTTTGGTTAATCGTACGACACTTTACAAGTGTTTTCATTTGGAAAAAGCACTTTAAATTTTATACATACACATGTATGTATTTCGCAAGATGATGGGGATTTTACATGATACGTCATTGTGTGAAAGCTTGCTATGGCGTCTCGTTCCGAAAGTCTATTGACAGTATAGATAAAATATGAATAGCATTTCCGAAAAGTTTTGCCGTTTTAAACAACATATTTAAACAGTCACCGACATACCCCTACCAGGCCATATATGATATTATTCTTGAGTACTGTAGTCCTTGGCTTTAAACATTTTACAGACAACAATGGAAGCAAGTTAACTTATAGTACAAATCCAATGTTTTCATGAGAAAAAAAAGAACATATGTTATAACAGTGAAACTTAATTAATTGTTGTTAGGCCGATAAAAAGTAAGTCTGTTTCTTTGATTGTAATTTTCTTACTTTTTGTTTTGTCATTTTTTTTTTTACAGATTGAAATTCAATTCGTGAAAAATTGTTAAGTCGTACGAAAAAGAATAATCTCCATTGGCGTTAAAAGCCATTCAATTAATAATATAATTGAAATATTTCACATTATGATTTTTTAATAATCAGAGAAGAAAGGAAATGCACAGATCGAGGACTAAAATACTTCCACTCTTATATATCGTCTTCCTTAGGAGACGGTTTAAGTTGTATGACAGGCACTAATAAATTTTTAAATTTAGAAATATAGGGAAAGAGTTGTTTAATTTAAACACAGCTATACATGCAATGTGCAAAATATATATCATGTACATTAAACGAGGTTATGAGCACATTTATATTATTCGGTATATGAATTTCCCTGATGCCATTGGTTAAATATGATAATTTTTCCATACAGGCTAAACCCGGAACTGAGCATGGCCCTAACGCCCTAAGAGAAGGCGGTCTGATAAAGAAGCTGAAAGGACTGGGGCTAGACGTGCACGACTACGGAGACGTGGGGACACCCAGCCATGAGGATGACCACCACTTCGATCTGCCGGTCAAGAATCCTAAACACGTGGCCACGGCCTCGGAAAATGTAATTCAACCTCCTTAATTTTGTTCAACCGATTGATAACTGCCGTATATCTCTTGCAGGGCAGTTATTATAGTGTTTGTTGACAGATATACTAGACATAAGTATAAAATAATTGTGTTTACGCATATCACCGAATAAAATCATTTTGGCTTACAAAAGTCAATACCGCAGTAATTTTGAAACAGTCCAACAGATGCAAGCAAGAATGTGTTTCAAAATTTATTCAAGTGTAGGCCAAAATCTGCAAATGTAACATCAAAAAACAATGTCATATGTTCCTCCTTAGATTGCTGCTGATGTGTACAATGTCATCAAATCGGAGAGAGTTTGCTTGGCTCTTGGTGGAGATCACAGTATGGCTATTGGTTCGATTTACGGACATTCATTGGCACAGCCTGATCACGTGGTAGTCTGGGTTGATGCGCACGCAGATATAAACACACCGCTGACGTCATCGTCCGGAAACATGCATGGAATGCCGTTGTCATTTCTTGTAAAGGAACTGCAGCCATACATCAGCAAGCTCCCGGGATTCGAATTTATCAAACCTTGGTAATCATTTATTTCTTTTTTATTCTAAATATATTAAATAAATTATCCTGTTCCGGGCGGTTTTCATTTGATACGGAAGCTCATTTATCCAGAAGTACTTTGATAATACAGTTTCTTTTCTTTAATATTATTCTCTGAAAGTCATTAGATTATTTGTAATACAAATCCCTCTCTTTCTTGCAGTTTGTCTGCTAAGAACATCGCCTACATTGGACTTCGTGATGTTGACCCTGGGGAGAGGTAACTTGAGCACATAATTATTCCTCGAAAATAATCATTTCAATATAGTTGTGATGCTATTGCTCAGATACATGTACAGCGTAGGTTATGTGCTGAAATATATTTTTCTTACTTTTCAGATACATCATAGAGAAGCTTGGGATCCACTCCTTCTCAATGTCGGAAGTGGATAGACACGGGATCAAGGAGGTGGTCGAGAAAGCCATGAATTACCTGGACCCTGAGTGAGTTAAATTTGCATGTGCTAGAAAATCGACACTAAACTTTTACGGATTATGAGAATCCATACTTCCTTCCTTATTGTATGCAACGAAATCAAGTTTAGAAAAAAAGAGTTAAACAAATGAACTTTAAAAATTGTGAAATAACGATTAGAAAAAAAATAGATGAACGTATTTTTGATCTTGTCTTTACAGGGGAGTGAAGCCTATTCACCTGAGCTTTGACATTGACGCTTTGGACCCGTCCCTCGCTCCCAGCACCGGTACTCCCGTCCCCGGGGGCCTCTCCATCAGGGAGGGAAACTACATTTGTGAGGAACTTGCCGCCACAGGTATGTTCCATTGCCTGTTCCGTAACTTGATGATAGAGCGATCGATGTTATTTATTTTTTGTATATATAGATCCGAAGTTTTTGGTTGGTACATTAAAATTTAACAAAAATAAAAACTACTCACTATTTTATTTTTGTAGGTCGACTGTCATGCGTGGATATAGCGGAAGTGAATCCAAGTCTTGGAAACGATCGTGAAAACCAGATCACTGTCAATTCGGCGCTTCAGATCATCACACACTGTTTCGGTGGGCGACGCCAAGGTGTTTATCCAAAAAATTACCAAATACCGATTCCGATGCACACGAATTTTGTGGCCCCGCCCCCTTCGTAAAGTCTGTGCGGAGAAAAGAAGTTCATGTTTGAAGGAACCATATTGCATAATAATGAGCGAATGAAATGTGTGGAAGTTTATTTTTGTAAATTAATTTTTAATATGCATATTTGAGAAAGAGAAAGAAAGCCAGAGAGAGAGAGAGAGAGAGAGAGCGAGAGAAAGAAAGAGAGAATGATTTTGTTTACAAGTGACACTAAGCCTAAATATAGACTTATAAACGAGAACTTTACAGATTTGAATTAAAAATTACGTACAATTTGAAATAAACATTTTATTAACATATCATATGTTGTATACCATAACCATTTGTGAAAAAAGTTCATCTGTAACATTCAACATGTATTTTTTGCAACAGTTTCTATTTTTTTTTTTGTTGGTTATTGTTATATTTGTTTAATAATTTTTGTATATATATGATTTTTTGTACTAATTATCACATTATCTGCTTTTAATCTTTTAGAATTGTTAAATAAAAAGTCGAAATATGTCTTCTGACTGACTATTAACAAGAAAGCAGGATTTGCATGTATTATGCCAAAGTTACATTGTAGAGGAAAGTTAAGATACTTTTTCAAAGATATTTAATCTGCTTTTAAATCAGCAATGCATATTCAGAATCCAAAGAATTAAAATTAGAGCTGGTTTCTGATATCCAGACATAAGTAGATTTTGATTGGTTCAATGCTGATCTGCTGATACTCTCCGTACTTTGATAAACCAGCGCTTCAAGAATCTTATTCCAACAAACAACACCTTTAATTTGAATCTTAAACAAGCTCCAGTGTTTACAGAGTACCTATATAATTTATATACTGAGTACGTATTGTATCTATGCAGGTGAAAGTAGAACATTGCTTCACTCAATAATGGACTGAAAAAATGAATAAAGGAAATGTAAAGTCTGTACGTGAAACTTGGTTGCCCACCAAAGTTTTACAGTATAAGTGGTAAAGTATCCATGTTCCCCTCCCTTTGAATGATCCGTTTGAATCTCCATATGAGTGAAAGGGACGTTAAACAACATACAGTCCTCCCTTTGAACTAATGCATGAATATCATAAATCTCGTAAACAAGTCAAATCGTGACGATATAACATTTGTCCCTGAAAAAACAGAGATGGAATCAAGTGCCTTGGAGGAGTAAGCATCTCTAATTGTCAATTAGTAAACCCCGCCACGAACCTTTGTACTGAATAGGCTTACAGAATACCAGTCAAATTAAGTATAAAAGCAACCATACAAAAGGCATGTAACATATCAAATGAAAAACGACCATGCGATAGGTTTTATTTACGAAGTCTAAACTCTACTTTTCTCCTTTCTTTACATCTGGCTACATACTCCGACCATTCCTTATCTATAAACAACGTTTGACGGTAATATTGTTTCCCCTATACCCATACAAATGAGAAAGACAACTTGTTAAACAGCTTAACTTCAGATAAACATGCCAGAAATAAATTGCAAAGAATTCAAGATCGTTACAGTTCCAATTAGCTGCATTTTGATGCATTTTGATGTTAAAAGACGACTAGTCTGAAAAATCGTTCGTCTTATAAAGCCTGAATCCTTCAACGCTACTTACAGTACTTCTAAACAATTAAACGTCGCGTCTAATACCTAGATTAATGAATGAAAATTTTTGGATACTTTTATCCATATTTACCCTCTTCCATTCAGTTTTCAAAGAGACTGGTATATTTTGGAATTTCCGATGTATGCCTTATAAACTTTATAATATAAGGTACGTTTTCAAACTGCAATTTCTTAAACAGTACTTCAAGATATGATAACGAATTGAAGGCTAATGCCTAGATATTTGCAGCAAATTAAATTGATTTGAGTACAGATATAAACGAAACAAGGTCAGCACCTCATGGCATTCTGATGAAGCCATGCGTTTCATTGTTTTAATGATAAAAATGAAAAAGATAAAGACAAAGAATAGTGATCGAATTATAAAAAAATCTATAAACATTACAAAACAATCATATGCTACAAAATACGAACTCTTGAAAATCCTAAAAGGTGGGATGAGGTGCCAAGGAGGGGTAAGCATCTCCCTCTAACCCGCTGCAGACCCTATTAACTATTTTTTATTCATAAGATCAGATCGACAGGGGACGCTCACTCCTCCATGACACCTGATGCCACCTCTGATGTTTTGGAGGTCCGTGTTTGCTCTGCTCCTGATTTGTGGTGTTTAATGAACTTTTGAGCTGGAATACGGTTCCTTATCTCAATAGATTTCAAAGAATAATCTGGTAGTCAATGCAGCATAAAAGCAAACGCCTAACATTATTATGAATCAATTTAGCCTAAATAGGAACCAAGGATAGGTTGAATTTGCTAATAAAGTCATTTCAACGATCACAGGATGTACGTAATGGTGACTTTAAACGAGAATGTTGATATTTAAATCAAAGAAGAACAATTGATTTTTTTATTATTATTTTAAATTATTTATTGCTTGCTTGATCTTTCCTTGAATTATACATTCAAAGATTTCCAATTAAAATATTTAATATCACAGGTGGAAAATGATTTTGTTGACCTAGACTTGGACGTGTTAATTATATTGCGTTTTCATCAAAAACATGTAATTTTATTTAGATTGGCTTTTTATTGGAAATTAAGCTAATTTTTATGAAAACGTTTATATAAAAAGCCAATATTTTTATGCCACTTTTTCCTCTGTAACCATGGAAAAAAAAGCATACATTTTAATTATTATATGAATCTTATTAGCCGGGCTTATTGCTCAACAGCAATTGCCGGCTTTATGTGATCCTTTTAAGGCAGGATATTCGGTAAGCCATAGTCGCCATTTTAAAGTTTTTTACGTGCAAAAATATAGTTCTTACTCTCAACCGCTTTTGAGATAATACAAACGCTAAATAAAGCAACAAAAATAAAACGAAGTTTTATATATATAAAATAAACATTAGTAAATGACTTTGAAAACTTCATAAGTCATACAAATAGTTCATTAGCGTAAGATTTTTGATAATCCAGTGTTTTAGTATATCTCTACACATACAGGTAAAGCATAGAGGAAATGCAGACTGGCCTGTTTGTTTACATTCAGCTGCGGTACCAGATTAATTCTAATTCTGACAAAATCGGACCGTGGTATTAGGATTGAATAACTCACTGTCAGTGTCTTATCATTTATATTGATAGTTTTCAAATAATTTTTTCATCAGAATATAAACGTGATTCGTGTAAGAAATCCATTCTACTCTGTAAATGAGCCCGGCTCTCTGTACTTTGATTTTATTTTTCAGTGTTTAATACTTTTAACATCCCAGTCTAACAACGTTAGTACATTCTAGCCTAGTCATTCTGGATTCCTTAGCCTAATAAAGATCCTTACAAAGAAACATTGCAGGGTCCAGCAAATTCACCGAGATAATTCCTAATTTCCAACATCAACATTTCTTATTTCTGTAGTTTTATTCCGTTTCACCAGCATATTAAGGTTACATCTCCAGCGTATTCGATAAGCAAGAGCATATTCCGTGTAAGAACTTTTTTTTAAACGAGTCAGACTTACGACGGTTATGTTGATATAGAGGGTTCTCAACAATCCTTTTACACTCATTTAGTCGTACATATTTTACTATCCTTATAACGACATAATACATGTAAATAGCAAATAAAACCTTAAAAAGGATCGAATTTGGTTGACATGTTTCATACCAATTGTTAGGCCTTTTGTTTTTTTCCTACTGAAATTGCTTTTCTTTGCATTTAGGTATATTCTGCTCAGAACTTACATAAATATAGAGGAAATGCTGATTTTTAATTTGGAGCCCTTTGTTGACAAGAAAGCAAATCGGAAAATATGGCTAAAACAGAAATAACCTCAACAACCTTGACTAAATAACATCCACGTCACCATTCATGCAATGAAATTTTGAAAACAAAGCTCTTCATATGTCAATGACCCTAACCTTTCTTATTGCTTATAAAGGATCCGTTGACATGTCTGAGAGTTACGTAGGCTTCATCAAAGATACACTTTGATAGGAGATATGTACTTTAAAAAATGATCAGAAATTATGATCACTAGTGTATTATATGCTTGTGTTTTTCCTGACATGTTTCATACCAATTGTTATAGGCCTTTGTTTTTATACTTTTAAAATTGACTTCAGACGGTTCCGTCTACTCGATTAATACATTGGGCTCTAGGTGGGTGTGTCCGGTCGACAGGGGATGTTTACTCCTCCTCGGCACCTGACCCCACCTCTGATGTTGTGGAGGTCAGTGTTTTGCAACCTCTTCAGATGTTTGTATTGTACAGGGATAATTCGAGATGGACTAATCTTAATTACAATTACCTACTTCATTTCATACTTGTTCGTTGTAGTATAATTTTCTATGATTCTAGAGATCATTGTCTCTAGACATTGATCTTAATCATTGTTTATTCCTGGCAAATCCGATAACAAAATTTCCCCAGACTTGAAATAAGGTATGTCAGTTAGCTGTCTTCTCAACATTTAGGGCTTGTTAACCTTAATACTGCATGTTCAAAACATTCAGACCTTGTTTTAAAGTATTACTTGGCATTTTGAGGTGATAATTCCAATCCAGATCTGAAGTAATCAAATGCGTCAAAATAATTTATTTTTCATTTTGACGATATTAACAATCAATTTCAATAATGTCATCAACTAATTAAATGTTATCTTCAGTAGGTCCTCTGTAAACAAGTTAGTGTCTTTGTACATGTGTATATCTTATGTGAGTCTAACTTTGATTGTACTTCCATCATTAATATTACTCAAGGATAATAGAAGACTCTCAATATTGACCATGTTCTCTATTTATGCTATTAAAAATTGTTTCTTCAGTGTTTTTTAAATTGATGGCCAAAGAAAACACGACTGTTAAAATCCGCTAAAAACAAAAATACGACTTTTTTGATCGAAAGACAAACAACTATGCCGAAACAAACGCATGTGCCTCTTTTAAATAAGTTAGGGGCATATTGACAACCTAACAGATTAACCTTTCTTAATTAATAAACAATCCAATCAAAATATCAGTGTAATTCATTATGCTCATTCCTTCATGACACCTGATCCCACCTCAGATGTTTTAGACGTCCGTGTTTGCTTTGCTCCAAAATGTGTATTTTTGTTAGTA